CTATGTCGTTTTACGAAATTCTTTGTGCATAAGCTTCAAAGATATATCATATTCTATACATAATTCGAAATTATTTAGATGTTTTTCGAAATCGTTTTTCGAAGAGAACATGACATTGGTCGAACTTTTTCAAACTTTTATGTATTTTGTTCAAGGTTTGAAAAAATAGGTAAGTTTCTAACAGATCTGTTCAGCTCTACTAACAAATATATAGGTAAGTTTATAACATATCTGTTTATAACATACATATGTAACTTTTATGTATTTTGTTCAGATTTTGAACACTAAACAGTTCAATTCTTTTTCGTCTTTCTCATCATATCAGTAAGTGAAGCTTTGCTAATACTTGTTAAAATTGCTTTTCGAAGTTGTTCAAAGTCTTTTGCCGAAGTTTTTCAAAGTTTTTAGTATTTTGTTCAAAATTTAGAAATATTAGGTAAGTTTATAAAAATTTGTTTAGATATATTTATCGCATATTAGGAATTTCTTGTTTAATGTTTAAAAGAATCTGTATGAATTTTTATTTTTAAAACTTTTACGCAAAAAATCGGTTTTAATATAAAGGCAGATGTAATGGTAAAAGTTGAATGTGTTGATAATGATAGGGAAATCAAATTATTTTTTTCTTTCTTTATTGTATAGTGTCCAATAATGTTCCACATAATTTGCTGTGTTTTTAATTTTGATTTTTTCATATATATTTGACATTTTTTTTTGTTGATTATTAATTATGCTTGATATTTCTATATTATGCAACAATCTGCCATTACATACAATGTCTTGTCAATCCTCATTCTTTGATTTTGCTAATTTTCGTTTAATATGACTTTTCTGTTGCTCAAAGTATGGTTTTTAATGCATTAAAATATTAATGTTTTGGATATGTTTTAATGCTACGATCATGCAGAAATTTGTCCCGTCACTTTTTTCTTAAAGAGGAATTATTTAATGAAAATTAATCAAATTTATATTTATAATTGTGAAATAATAGTTTTTTTTTTTCACGGCCAACAGTTTTTTTTTAATGAAAAATATGAGACAATTTATTCAGCACATTGTTTTTATGAAACAGAATGTTGATTGCGATAATCAAATCTCCACAAATCATGCATTTTATTGAATAGTAGTAATATAAAATATTTTATTATTACTACCAAATGGAAAATCAAAGATAGTTAATTTTGCACTATTAATTATGATCATATGGATTTTTTTTATACATATGTTTTTTCAATGAACTTTTTAAATGATAATATTGACAATATAGACTTTGCTATAATAATTATATAGACTTTGCTATAATAATAATTTATTTATTTAATTCATTAATTTTTTTTTAATTCATCTTATTATGCGTATAGTCTAAGTTTATAAATTATATGTCATTTAAATGTATCTATACTACTAATTTATAAGGTTTTACCATTTGGGGGAGCTAAATTTTTAATTTTAATTATGAATCTAATCTTTCTTATCATTTTGCAGCTATATGTTTGATGGAGTATGGTTGGAAATTAAATTACAAAAAAAAAAATAATTTTATTTTTATATTGTAATGTAACATTATCTGTATTATAATGTTTGTATTTAATACATTTATTAATATTTTTTATAACTTTAATTGCTTATTCAATTTATAATGGAATAAAAAAATAATAATATATAGTTTTTGCACAACAATAATGACTGCCACGTTTATATATATAAATGAGAATAAGAAACATAAATGTGGGATTAACTAAAAGAAACCTTTTTAATTTACCCATTAACTAATTAGGTTTAACTAAAAGAAACCTTCTTAAATGTGAGATTAGTGAATAATTAATTAAAAAAAATGTAACTCCTTTTGGAGGGAAAGTGAAAATGTTTTTATTAAATGTGATAAGCTAGTAATTATATATATATATATATAGATTTATACACGTGTAAAGACTCGATCAATTTGCATTAATTAGAATAATTTTGACTATTTTTATCTATACTTATGTAAAGAGTCATCCTATTTACTAGAATTAGTAGGAAGAAAAGTCAAAGGTAATTAATGCATTCTATTTCCATCAATTAATTTTTATTTAATTGTTTTTTCCCATAAAATCAGCACCAAAGAAAAATGTACGTACAACAAAAAAATGCAGATTTGATCGAAAGATAAAATCTTGATTTTACCAAGAATAAATCAAATGTCAAGCCTAAATGGAAGGGTTTGGTTGTCTATATAGATATTGATTTACGTAAATCAATACATCTAATATTTATAGTTTGTGTAGATCTTTGTACAATTTTTTTTTTTATCTAATTGTATGGAAAATCTGATCTGATTTGTTCCTCTAATGTGATTTCCGTATATCAAGATTTTTTCTTAAAAATCTTAACAGATATTGATTCTACTCTACTAATTATAAATTATAAATCTCAAAATATTGAGACTTTTATTTAATATTGCATCTTATTATATAATATTTTCCAAATAAATATATCCCATGCCTCGCACGGGTCACATACTATATATATCGCGTATATTTTTTTTTATTCATGTATATAATTATAAGGCTGGATAAATAGCCTTAAAATTGTGCACCCCGTGCATCGTACGGGCTCTGTACTAATTTAGTTTTATATGACATCCAACACTTACGACCATGGCGCACAAGTAAAATTTGGGCCCAATGTACTGATGATGCTTCTAAACTTAATCAATTAAATCCAAACATTATTTATATCATACATATACAAACATTATTTATCTAGATTATGAAAGACTGTAATAGCATGGGGTATTCAAATTGCGTATAGTCAAGTAATTGACTAATTCAATATTAGTTTATGCTTAGATGATACGAATTTTCCATCCAACACCACCAAAATTGATATATACGTAAATATATCCATAGTTTTATATTTCCACGAATTAAAAATCAACACCACGCGTTATTGAACCGGAAATTTTCACCCATTCAACACACAATTTCCTGAGGTGTAACTTTAAATTCTACCTGAAAAAAAGGAAGTAACTATGCAAATGTATCACAAAATATTTCTTGTGTTTGGGCAAGTTTAGCCTTTTATGGTTGGGCGATTTGGTACCTATAGGCTATATGTTACTGTACCAATTAAAGACAGTACCACTGCACGAAAATAAGCTATTAACTGGGCAAGTGTTCAGATAAATCCTTTTCATGTTTTGTTCATGGTTTAAAGTCACTTAATCAGTTATATGCTTCGTACACTGTTTTAATTTTTCTTCCCCCATATATCAAATCCACATTAATTTGCAAGGACAATATATTTCCTTCAAAATGGGGCATATTAAAAAATGGCTCAAACATATATAATAAACTAATTTTAATTAGAGAGACTTGCCCCCGTCCAACATTTCCAGACAGTTCAGCAAGGAATTATTTATTTGAGTAGTTGGTGTTTATTCAATTCACATGAAATTATATTCTAGTGAGGATAAGATTGTGAAAGTAATTTCATTTTAGTTTTTATTTTTTTTTTTGGGTGGTAATATGACAGAAAGCACATTTCCTGTTGTAAAAAAGGGGCGGTCCCACGCACGTGAAGCGCACCATAATCAGGGAAAGCTCAGATAAAGTCCAAGTGCGTATTCATCCCAAAACTAATTGGTGGAAGGAGGAGAAACCCATTAGACTTATAAATTAGACCTTTTTTTCCTATATAAATGATGTGAGACAACTCACAAGAGAATATTCTAATATCTATTAACAGATGAAAAATTAAGATTATTGTTGGCAGGTCTAACAAATAGACAATCAAACGTCTATTTAAACTAAAATATCATATTCTAAAAAAGAACATAAAAAAGTATGACATTTTATAAAATAAGTATGCCTTTTTGGTAAAAAAAAAAATATGACGGTTCGACTCGTCTAACAATTATATCACTTAACCATTGACATGAGATTTTTTGCGAATAAAATTATCATTACAATGCACATAATTAATCAACAAGAATAATGGTTGTTTCTTTATCCGCTTTATAAGGGCTAATCCAAGTAGCTAGTTATATGAAAATAGAAGTTCCATTTAATTATTTAAAACCCCTTTATAGAAATCCTATTCTTCAATTGTATTTTATTAGGTATGCTCGGACTCATCCGCCCATGCCATGCGCATAGTTTTTATATATTTAAGTTGTTATATTTGTTACTATTGTGGACGTGAGGAGTACATGTGCTGCAACAGGACCATAAGCTTCCGAATTAATTAATGTTCTTTATGTATTTTACCACACCATTTATTATACCAATCTGCCTATATTTCACGCAGGCACTACCTTAATTTACTGATAAACTATTTTGCATGGTGAACATTGAACAATCACTATAATTTATCACAAAATATTATAATAATTAAATACAATGTTATGCCCATACTCACAAGTCGCATGACACATGCTAAACACTCAATTGATGCATTCTAAAAGTCCTGGACAATGAAAGATCACTTATTTTTCTTAGTTTTATTTATTTATTTGTTATTATTTTTTCTTAATATATAACTACACAAATTTGTATGAGGTGGATTGATTNTAAAAGCATATATTTTAATTGAAAAAATATGTCTGCCTAAGCATTAGGCCAGCATGCCAAAAGTTTTAATGTATAATTGAATATTCATTATTCTGTAATACTGATGTTAGCTAGGTAGATTAATTAAACGCTATGATTATACTTTTTTGTAATAAAAATTAATATTTTCATATTTAAATGTTATATTTTGAAAAATAATACAAACAAAAATATTTCCTGTGTAAGTATGTCCAAAACTACAATTAATCAACTCGTACTCTGTTGGACAAAAATTATGAATATTAAAATATTATTAGTTCCCTTTCGAACCATAGTCAACAATGGGTGAGAACTCAAATGGGACGAGTTTGATCGGTGCAAAAACCGTGTGGTGCTCCCGCTTTTCAATTTGCGCTCCCCAGTTGACGTCCAGCAAAAGTCAACCCCAAAAAATGGCTCTTTAGCGCATTTGGAGGGCCCTTCATTTTGCCAGTATATATACAGACCCTCTCCATATACTAATCTTTCATTACATTTTTTCTTCCCTCTTTTAAACAACTGACAAAGTCAAATTGCGGCTAAGCTTATCTCCTCCTTCTCCCGTTTAATTTTCCATTTTTTTTTTCTAACACATAATTATCAAGAGCCAGCCGGTGATTATGGCCGAATTAGTAGCTGACGTGGAGGACTGGAGTTTGCAGGCCATAGTCAGAGGATCAAGCGGTGATTTTGCCAAGATGAACGTTGATATGGGATTCGACGGCCAGGATCCATTTTCCGACATGTTGACCAGTTTTCCTGATATGTTTGACTTGTCAACCGGCTCTAGCGATGAGCTGGAGGGGCTCTACAAGCCGTTCTACACGGCTAGCCAAAATAATACTTACGAGCTCCCGAACCAAACCGTTATCGAGTTTCAAGGGCAAGCCAAGCCAGATGGATCGGGTGAGGAAGCTAATTATAAGCCGGCTCATGATGATCTGTACTCAGATCAGTCGTCCGGAAATAGCTTCGTCGCTGGGGCTGCGGCTGGCTACACTCCAAAATACAAGAAGAGGTTTGTCCAAAAAATATATATGTTTCTAAATTTTATTAATTTATTTCGGGACTGTCTGTGGAAATTGTTTATTTATTTTTGAAATTATGTGTTTAATTTACAGAAAGAATCAGCATAAAAGAGTGGTGATTCAAGTGACGGCTGAGGGTCTTTCTGCTGATAAGTGGGCTTGGCGCAAATACGGGCAGAAGCCTATTAAGGGCTCACCATATCCAAGGTTAATTCTAGATACATCTATAACTGAAATTGCAATTTTAGTCCTCCAGTTATGTTTGTCTTGCAATAACAGTCCACCAAAAATCATGATTTACTGCAGAGAGCAAAAGATTTTTTATTTTTTTAATTTCAGTTATTCAATAGCCTTGAACAAAAAGATAATAATATTTTCTGATTTTTCTCATTTAAAGAATGCCAAAAGTCCCCATGTTCATATTTTTAGCCACGTGTGAATGCAAAGAAACAATTTTTCTTTTTTTTAAAAAAAAAAAATTTAAAATTTCCATTTCTTCAAAATTGAAAAACATGCCGAGTACTTGCATAAAATACAAAGAAAATTGAGAATATCTCAATATCTGCCCCAAATTAGTGAGCATATTTCATATTTTTTGCAGAAGGATAATTTAAAACTTTTCTTAGTAACAAGATATAGGCAAAACTAATATTGCCAAACCCCAATATATATAGGACGACTATATATATAGGTGCAATGACTCATATATTTCGAAAGCCTCAAGTATACGCGTATTAATTAATTAACTAACCTTTTTTTTATTTTTGGTTTAATAATGAGCAGGAGCTACTACAGGTGTAGCAGCTCAAAGGGGTGTTTGGCACGCAAGCAAGTGGAGCAAAGCTGCAACGACCCTGGACTGTTCATCGTGACCTACACAGCCGAACACAGCCATAGCCAGCCCACCAGACGAAACTCATTAGCCGGCACTATCCGCCAGAAATTCCCATCCCATAACAAAAACCTAAAAGCCGCCACTACCAAAACCGCCCCACCACAAAAAACCGAAGAATCTTGTGTTTCCCCACAAACACCTCGTCAACTTTTGTCCGACCCGTCGGCTATTGGTTTTTGTGCAAGTATCAAAGAGGAGAATGAAGCGGAAGATAACGACATGAGAGTTGTGAAATCCGAAAGTGGTGGAGGCTACAGTAACGACATTGACATGTCCGATTTTGCATTGGACGAGGATTTCTTTTCGGGGTTTGAGGATTTCGATGATGGATTTACTAATCCGGAGCCACAGTATTTTCCTGTAAGGGAGGAGTGTGGCTGGTTTTAGAAGATTTGAGAAGTGAATTTAGCACATTATTATATGCATTTATGTTGTTTGTACTCTAAAGTAGTACGTGCTAAAGATATAAAATACGTACACACTTGATTAATTCTAGCGAACCTCTGATTAGTTAGTTATTTAGTCAGTCCGATGAAGACAAGATGTATTTATTTTTTAATTTTCAACTTTTAGAGCAATCAGTGCATACTCCATTAAAATCCATACCAAATAAAGAGAATTTTGTTGTATATTGTTCTTGTTAATGCAGTTTATTCAAGTCTTGCATGCTATGTGAAAATAAAATATCGATATATGTTGCTTCAAAAGTTTCTGATTCTACCATGACAAAATTGCGTCTCTCATAGATTTCTCTGAGGGTCGTATTTTTCTTGGTGGTGAATGATTGTTCGTTGCTAGATGGTGACGATATCCTCGGACTCGAAGGTCGTGGAGCCATGGGAGGTGTTTCTGTACCATTTGGTTCATCTTCATGTTCTTCTAGTACTATATTGTGAATCTGTGGTGCAGTGTCTATTGTGTTTGTGTGCTTATTTTCATGTGTTTTTCGTGCCTTAGTTTGGTGTTTCTAGGTTCGTTTTAGTGTCGATCGGTCCTTTTTATCGTCTTTTGTGTCTTTTTGTTCTCATTGTGTGTTTTTATATTTTGCCGTATTTTCTTGCGTATTTTGGTGTTGATTATATCCACAATGTTCAAGCTTGGGGAGACGAGCCTTTTTCGAGCCACCCGGATCAGCATCGAGCCATTCGAGCCATTGACCAAACCACTCAAGTCATTCGAGCCATCATCCGAGAGCTCATCGCCTAGCAGCCGCGCTCGCTGCGAACACGGTCTTGCAACCCGCGAGACGCGAGGTAGCTAAGCCCCGGCCTTGCCCGAATTCTCCCCGAGATCAGATTGGCGACGCGCGAGATGGCCTGCGAAGCGCCCTAGCGCCCGGGCACTCGTTGCAGACTTAAATTGGCGACCCGTGAAACACAGTGCCCCAGCCACTTATGCGTGCACTCGCAGCGAGAGTCTATTTATTGTGTTTTTGTGTTTCTTTTTATGTGTTTCTTGTGCATAGTTGAGGCAGTTATAAGATCGTTTTAGTGTCGACCGGTCCATTTTATCTTTTTCCGTGTGTTTTTGTGTCTTTCTTTTTATTTTATATTTTGGCGTACCTTTTCCGTGCTTTTTGGTGTCATTTTTAGGTTTTATTCCGAGGGTGATGAGAAGAGTCGAATCGAGTTCCGAGAGACGAGATTTTCCAAGTATTCCGAGTCATTTTCGAGAAGTTTCGAGCCATTGAGCTAGTCCATTTCGAGAATTTCGAGCCAAGTCGATTGGAAGTCCCAAAAGTCAGCCGCACTCGCGACTTCGAGCCGCAGCCCGCGCCTCGCGGAAGTTCATTGCCTAGGCCCAGTGCACTCGCGCACTCGCGAGGTGTTCCACGACCTCGAGAGGGCCATTTCCCGCCGTCCGCGCGCGCGAGTTCACTCGCAAGATCGAGAGTGCCGCCTTATTCCCGTGCCCGTGTTTGTAGTACTTTTGGGCATGTGGTAACCGAGTTACCCGACTCGGGTCGTTCTAAAAGGAAGGCTCTTCGAAACTTCGTTTACTATCTAGTCGTCAAAGTCACAAGACCGAAAATAAGGTCCTAAACATTCTACTCATTTGATGGGATTGGTTTGCACGAAATTAAACTAAAAGCCTATGAGCAAATAATGAAAATGTAAGAATCGAAAGAAATGTCGAACTTTGGTTGCACGGAATCTCCACACTTGACGAAAATAAAAATAACAAAAAGAAAACATACGAGCCAAGTGATCCTAAGTAATCGAACACGAACTTTCTATCATAGATAAACGCGTATCGAATCCCGCTTTGAGCAAAGTCGAGACTTCTATACTAGATAAACGCGTATCGAATCCTAACACACTTGAACAAGTAATGAAAATAATGCAAGGCCTAAAATCGAACATAAACACATCATTCCAACCAAATCACAACTCGAAATAACAAACCCTAAGCTAGGTGTTTATTCTCCTATAGCAAGAATGGATGAAAGTAATGCGTAGAGATCGAATTTTAGATAAAAATAAAGTTGCCGGAAAAATTACCGAAAAAGTCGCCGAAAATGTCAAGGTGGACCTCCAACCAAAGAACTAAAAAGATAGAGAGAAGAGGGAGAGGGATATTTCCCAACTCTAAGGTTGGGAAATGAGGGAATTGTCTCAAAAACACACACACACACTACTTATTTATACATACCACACAAACACACACTAAAAATAAACACATTTAATGAAATTTTGAAGTTCGCAGGTCTCGAAACGGGGTTCGCAGCGAGTTTAGGCATGGAATAGTGTAGCTGGGCGCGTTCGCGGGTCGCCAGTGGAGTTTCGCTGCGAGTTCGGGCTTTGGGTGCTGTGTTGCGGCGTTTGGCGGGTCGCGAAAAGTCATTCGCTGCGAGTGTGGCCCTGGGTAAGTGTAGGATCGTCGCTTGGCGGGGCGCGAGTAAAGACTCGCTGCGAGTGCGCAATGTCTTGGCTGGAGCTTGCCGCTTCGCGGGTTGCGAAGAGGAACTCGCGGCGATTGCTGGACTTGAAGTGCCGTCTTCGCGGGGCGCCAAAATCTGTTGGCAGCGAGTGCGTTGCTGGGGTGAGGAGCGATGCGTTTGGCGGGTGGCGAAAACACTTTCACAGCGAGTCTGGGCAAGGGCTCCATGTGTGGTTCGCAGCCCGCCAATGTGACCTCGCGGGCGAGTGCCTAGGCTTGGCCTCCTAGTGCTATTTGGCGGCCCGCGAATCGGATTTCGCCGCGAACATGACCTTCAACTCAATTTCTTCACTCGGGTGACTCAATCGGTGATCTCTCTCTCGGAAACTCATATGGCTCGATCAAAATGGCTCGAGCAACTCGTGTCGGAACGGCTCGACATCAGAATCATGGATAGTGGCTCGATCAAAATGGCTCGTTTCCCCAAACATGTATAATGGACCTATAAAACACACCAAAAGAGACGCGAAAATACGGCAAAATACAAAAATACATAACGAGAACGAAAACACATAAAACACGACAAAATGGACCGGTTGACACTAAAACGAACCTAAAAACACTAAACTAAAACACATAAATCACACGAAAATAGGCACAAAAACACAATAAACAGCCCGCGCCCCGCGAATCCTCCCGCGAGACCGAGAGTATAGCTTCCTTGCCTGTCCGCGCGCGCGAGCTGGGCCGCGAAATCGAGAGTATGTCTTGTCCTCGTGTACTTCCGTGCCTTTCCAGCCTCGCGACCCGCGAGTTCACCAGCGAGCTCGAGAGTGCTGTAGTAAATCTGCGTGTTTTCCACTGTGTGTTTTGAGTGGACTATATATATGTTTTGGCCCTTTGTTATTGGACACGAGATTTCATTTGCTACCTTTACTCTTTTTGGCAATGTTTTTAGTTTTAGATTTCTCTCTAGATTTTGTCTACTCTTTGACATCATTTTTCGGCGAGTTTTCCGGCGACTATTATTTTATTCAAGTTCTGAGCTTTTGACTCCTATTTTTATCTAGCACACAATAGAAGATTGGATATTTACTTTTAGAGCTTTATACTTCGATTTTTGCCTCGTTTTGACTTATGATGATTATCAATGTTGATTTGAGTGTTTGTTGGGTGATGGATATGAAGTTTGAACTTGATCATTGCTCTTGCTTGTTTTAGTAGGGATTAATTATTTGTCTATCTAGATTAAAGGTTAGGATTCTGTTTAGAGCTTAATCACTTAGGTTAGAAGGTTAGGGTTAGTTCCCTAGTGCTTAAAATTTGCTTATTTCTCTCGGTTGAGTTCGTTTGGTGTTGATGGCATAGAGATTTGAGGCATAGAGATTTGAGAAGTACTAATTGTTTTATTCTCTAGTGCAATTAATGTTAATTCACCCTCAACTCAAATTGATTAGCATGTTTAGGATTTCTCTTTTTCGTTTTGTGTTTTTGGACAATTGAATAGCAACCGAAGCTCCGAATAGCCTTCCTTAGAGAACGCCCCGAGTTGGGTAACTCGGTTACCACATACCCATAAATTTATACTAAATAGAGTCTTCTCGCGACACGCCAAACGCCGAGCCGAGGCAGCCGCACTCGCTGCGAATCCGTGCTCGTGTCCTGCGAAATGTAACCCGGGGCAGAAATCCTTACACTCGCAGTGAATTCAATTTCGCGACCGGCGAACGCACCCTGCAAGCACCAATTATGCCACACTCTCTTCGAAATTTCGAGACCTGAGAACTTCAGAATTTTAATAAATGTGTGTGTTTTTAGTGTGTGTTTATGGTGTAGCTATAAATAGACATTGTACTTTTTATTTTTTGGGACAACCCCTCATTTCTCAACTTTTAATTAAGTTGTAAATCCTCTCTATTTTCTCTCTTTTTTTTTATGCTTTGGTTTGAAGATTCATGACTCAATTTTTTCGGCGAAATTCTGACAATCTTATTTTTTATCAAGATTCGAGTTTTACGCATTATTTTCGTCCGGGCATGCGATAGGAGAGTAAGTACCTTGCTTAGGCTTACTACTTCGAGTTTGTTTTTCGAATTTTGTGTTTATGCTCGATTCTAGGTCTTTGCTTTATTTTCATTGCTTGCTTACGTGTACTAGGTAATCTAACACGAGCCTTCTTAACTAAATAATTAAGGTTTGCAAAAAGTCTCAACTTTTACACAAGATAAACACGTATTGGATTCCTATATTCACTTAGAAAAGCTATAAAAACAAAAAGATCCAAACTTTGCCTCCTTCAACTAGCAAACACCACATTTACCTTGAAAAACTTCATAAGTAAAGAGCAAAACAATTATACGGAGTAATAAATTTTAAAACTAAGTACTTACTTTCCTATTGTATACTCGAAGAAAATCAGAGTGAAAAGCTTGAATCTTGTATAAAAATAAAGTCGCCTGAATATGAGTCATAGAGCTTCCAATGCAAAGATAGAGAGAAAAATAAGAAAAAGACATTCCCGAAAGGGGAAACTAGGAAAATGAAAGCTTGGTTCCAAAAATACAAAGGAACAAATGTATTTTTAGTCACACCTTTAACACACACTCAAAACACATACATTTAATGAAACACTCGCGAGCTAGGTGGATTTTGCTGAGTGTTTTTTATTAAAGTATAATCATGTTTTTAATTATTTTATTATATAATAGTTATTACTAAAACTAACCGATTATAATTTACACTAAATGGTATATGGAAGTTCAGTAAGTATAAAAAATTATATTG